TTGGTGGATAAATAGATTTGTCTTAATAGTGTATGCTTGTTATGTAGACTTCCTTTAAGACAGACACACCAGCCATCAGTGGATGTCTTCAGAATGCGGCCCAGACTAATCACATTTGGCCACTGCTCTCTACCCCTCCACCTCACTCAACAGTCCGCATTCTTCATTCTCGTCTCCAACACTAATTTTAAGGAAGCTCCCATTACCGCAACTTCACCAACACAATTTCCCTGTAGTTTTCCACTATCTTTTAAAGATTTTCTTTCTGCGGTGTCGTTGTTATTGGCGAAAGACAGGAAAAACCTTCACAGCAATTGAATTTGTACATCAGAAAGTTTTCAGAAGAATACTTGAAACCAAATATGTCACTCTTTATTTTTCTTCAAAATTAACTTTAAGTGGGTCTACAATTTCTGCAACTCAATTGTCGTCATCATTCGTTCGCACTTTTAAACTGCGATACAGAAAGGAGGACGTCTCCCGAGAACGAAATTTTTATAAGAGAACAAAAACTGCTATAGTCTTATTTTTACGGCTTTTTATCTCGAAATTTAGAAGAAGTTCAATGTTGAATCTATTACTGCTTGTCGAGAATGATTTTTTCATTTTTATTTCGTAGTCACTCGTTTTTTGGTTCTTCAAATCTTTGCATAAAATTACTTTTTTACCGATGCGAATTTAAAAATAATGATGGCGTAGAGGTGGTTGGACGGTAAAAAGTGAAGTGAAGAAACGTTCTGAATAAATACATGAGTAAACTTCGCATAGAACTCAGTTTTTCGGTTTTTAGAATTGCGTGTTCAGAACTTCTTGACAAATTATTGAAGCAAATTTCAATTTTACCATTTTGTTCTTCATACATGAAGTACACTTACTAGGAATCAGATTTGTCTTAAAAAACTCAAACATACCTATATAATTAACAAAATTTGTTTAACTGGTCACGTTTTTTCTTTTTTTTTATAACGATCGTTTCTTGTTGACCTTTCCTGAAACAAGCACTTAGAAAGCATTAAAAGAAAAATTTTTCTACCGTAAGTTTATTACAATTAATGAAAAAAAGAACCTAAAAGGGTGCTTTTAACTATACTAAGAAACGACTACCTAGTTGAACTGTGTTAATCAAAAGAATTACATTTACTTCATATCAAAAATATTTTTCTTTTTCAAATACCGTAATAAATGTGGACTTCTTAAATTCACTGTGTTGACTCTCAAGCTCCTTTTGTGCTTTGCAATTTTAGACAATTGATTTGCCTTTCTTTCGTTTGCGGTTACCGCTGTGTCGAAGAGTTTGAAAAATAGCGCAAACAATTTTGCCGAACAGAATCACTAACATTTTTGTTTTTTTTTTTTCAGGCGGGGGTTAAACTGCAACTTGCAACTGGCGAACTGGAAGCCTTTGGGCTTCTTCCAAACGGCTCACTACTGTAACATTAGGTAATGAGTTATTTAATGACAGAATAAAATTGACTAAATTGTGGCATTTTTTCTAGACAAACATCTGTAGCTGTTTCCTTTAGCTACAACCCAAAATGTCATCAATCTAGAATTAATTATGCTTAATAAGCATGCAGTTTATAAAAGTGTCTTATATTTTCAGGACAGTCGATTAGTAATCTCGTTAACACAATGGTTTTTGTAATGCCTATAATTCAAGTTTTGTTAGCGTTGCTGTTTGCCCAGAAAATAAAGTGTTTATGCAAAAGTAATCTGGGATGTAGTGATCAAGAAGTTTATGAATATCTGAGCCCAGCAACTCCGAATCGTCCAAATATTATTGTTCTGATGGTTGATGATCTTGGTCAGTTTTTTTACACTCAATTTACTCCATTTTTTACAACTTTTAAATTTCATCTAAATTTATCATGTAATATTTCGTTACAACATTTTCATATCACTATTGAAACTTGCTGAAATTTTATTCTTTTTAGTATAATCTGTTCTCTTCTGCTTCAATACTGTATTCTTTATCGCATGAAATATTTCGTTCTAAGTATCAAAATTTAACTTTTAACCAGCACTTTTCTCTGTCTTTATTTCTTGCAATTACTTTTGTTCACCAGTTCTTCTTTACTTAATGAAAAAAGGTAAATTTTTAAATTTTAAAAAGAATTGGGTTTAATCTACATACGGTTTTATGCGTAAAAAAATTAAAGAAATATTTGCCAATATAATTAATACAGTAGCACCGGTTTTTAGTGAAGTCTTTTGAGATTTTTTTACGTCTTTCAAACTTTTTTTCTTTGCTGCACCACAATTAATTATCACATTTGTTGTTTCACAATTGTCTGCAGGTCTTGTTTTCGCTATGAGACTTTGTACCTTAAAAAAACTGTTTATCACCTGTTGTCTTTTTAACAAATCTTAAAAAGCTGAAAGATCGAAGATTGTCGTGCAAAATTTTCAGAATATTGGTGTGAACAGTAAATTCACGTGCATAAGACTATAAAAAATAATGATTTGGTACGAATTATGAAGTACTATTTTAAATTGCTTTCAATGATTACAGCATAAAGCTGCTGAATTTGCCCAAAATTTTGTTTAACATTTTTCTATGTTATTTCTGAATCAAAATTTTTGCCAGTATCCTCTGCCTCATTTACCAAACTTTGAAAAATTTCCATTATTGACATTACAGTTACTCTTAAAGAATTTCTGTTACTTTCTTAGCTTGATAACTGAGCTTAGAAGATTAAATACACTTTAAAAAATTAAAAAAAAAATCACTGTGAAATTAATTAGTAACAACTTCTTAATTTTTCTTAATTTTTAATTTATTAATTTTTATGTATATTTTAATTTTTTTGACTTTATTTTCCTGGCTTTTTTCAGAAGGAAAGTAAACTGTACAACATCTCTCACCTTGTATTTAACTTCTTAACCTCAATTAGTGGTTTAAGGTGTTTGCTGACATATAGGTGTGAAAAAAGCTGAGTTAGAAAAACTAATATTTTCTTTTAAAGAACTATGCGCGGGAAAAATATTAATACTTCACTTTTAGTGCCGGTAGTCTTATATCTGCTATTAATTGTCAAGGCTGCACCAAAATTCTAAAGAAAAACCTGGTTAACAAATTTAACTTCAAAAAAGGAAGTACTGAACTTTTTTCTGCTTCAATTACCTTTGTTGATTTCTAGTGAGAATTGCTCATCGACTTCTAGGAAGACTTTATAAACAAAACGTTTACAAAATTTGGTCTAGAAGTTTGATGTCAAATAATTATCATTAAGTTGTCTAATTTATAAGCTTATTAGTTAGTCATTGATGCCACTGAACAAAGTTTGTCTCTTCTTTTTTTCTTTTGCTTATCTGCATGTCTTCAGAAGATAAGTGTCTAGGTTTCGGTGACTTACAAAGTTACGGCAACCCTGTTCAAGAAGCAACACCAATCGAACAGATGGTTAACGAAGGAGTACGTTTTACTCAAGCTTATTCTGCAGACAGCATGTGCTCGCCCAGTCGAGCTGGATTTATGACCGGTAATAAAAACTGCAATAAAACATTATATTTGCTGTATCAGTTTTTCTTACGAAATATGGCTTATCCACTTTCAAAATTTGTAAAAAATAAAGTTTCTAGGGCGTTTACCTATCAGACTTGGAGTGACTGGAGGCGCCCGAGTTTTTCTACCACAAGACATTGGTGGTTTACCAAAAGACGAGGAAACGATTGCAGAAATGCTTAAAAAATTTGGTTTGTCTAGTAATTGAAAAAAGTCTGTAAAAATTTGCTAGCTTTGACTTATTACATAGAACATATCAAACCTTTTTAAGGATATTACACGGGAATGATAGGAAAATGGCACTTAGGAATTAACAAAGATAACTCTTCTGACGGCAGCTATTTACCTTCACAGCGCGGATTTGACTTCGTCGGTTTAAATCTCCCGTGGACGAACGCTTGGGAATGTGATACTTCTCAAGTAAGTATGAACTAATAAAAACCACTTGAAATACACTTCAAAACTTGCAAAATACGGCACTCGCTCAAATTTTTTTGGGAAAACAACACATTCAAATCATTTCCTGTACGATATTCTATTGTAAAGAAAATTTTGCATCCCGGTAGTTCATCTTTATTATTAATCAAGGATTTTGTTCCTGAGGGTCCAAATGGAACATTGTGTTTCTTGTATGACGGTGATCATATTATACAACAACCAATTCGGTTCAATGATCTCACAGATCTTCTCGTAGACGATTTTCGATATTTTCTAGGTACAGTGGTGTATTTGACCAAATAGCAGTGTTTCTTGCCGATTTAGTACATTTCTTGGTGTTTCATAGCTCGTTTTAAAAATTAATGTTTGGAAAATCTTGATTTAGAAACTTGGTTGGCAACAGACAGCGATAAGCGGCCATTTTTCTTCTACTTCTCCTTCCCTCACGTTCATAGTGCTCAGTTCGCCAATAAGCGATTTTTCGGTAAATCCGTTCGAGGTAAATGACGCTTTTTCTTAACTACTGATGTCAGACAGTAATACCTTGATATAAACAAAAATATAAGTACGAATAAATAAACAAATAAATAATTAAATAGTTAAATAGATAAATAAATAAGTAAATATATATGTATCTTATTATAGAATCCTTAATTCCGAAAGTTGAAGTCTCTAGAAAAATGCTGCTGAATTGTAACTTTCCTGTATAACAACAGAGAAGTAACCATCAATCACTTTATCAATTCTATTTACTTACTTTATCGACTCTAATATTATGGTCTCCACTGTACACATAAATAAATATATACATCTATTCATCTACATATTTATTTATTATTTGTATAAGTTATAAGCCATTGCAGGAGAAATTACACAACTGTTTTACTTGAGATTCCAAAATATCTTAAACCTTATTAGTTATTAAAGTTTGACTTTCAATTTAAAAAAGCGAAAAAGCAAGCTTGTTCCCACTCCGCAACATCTTCTTAAAGTTATTCCCATCAAACTTGCAGAACTGCAGATTTCTGCTTAAAATACTTCTGCAAAGTTGCGATTTAGCTCAGCATCAACAAAACTTAAAGACATTCGATTTTTATATAACTCGAACTCTATATTTCTAAAATTCTTTGTGCCATTTAGTTTTGTAAATCAAACTGTCAGACACAACATCAGTGAAAGTTGAAAAGAAGATGGAAAATAACCGGTCCCACTAAATATTTTTTTAAAAAAAACGCGCTTTAAGCAAAGTTTTTTGCTTTATTAAAATATTAGTATTTGTTCGTCTATTCTTAAATGATCGAAAGTTCTGAGCTAATTAAAAATACAGGATTAATGGTAATGATCATACGTATTTTATAGCTGAGAAATCAGTGGCAGGCTCACTGCCTACTTGCGCCATACGAAACCGTTATCATGTTCAACTTTTAAAGGCTTATTTCAAAAAGATTTTCATTTGAAAATAGGTGCAAATTATTACTTTTTAAGACCGCATTGTGCCACTTTTAATTCAACATTTTTTTAGCCACAAGTTTCATGCTTGATTCCAATGACTATAACAAAGTATTCAGTTCACAAAAAAAGCCATGCAGCAGTAATATTCAACGTATCACAAATTTCACAAATTAGTGTGTCTGAGAACGAAAATTATTTGTAGTAGAGAGATTTTAGCTTTGATATTTGAGACGTCAGATTCAGAAAATGCTTTTAACAGTATAGTAGAAAATCTTTAAATATTCAGAACCATTTCAACAATTTAATCTTTTTTTGTTTTGGTTGTACAAACGATGTTCAACTTCAGTTTTCAAACTTCAATCAACATTTTGAGGTGTAATCTTGTAGTCAGACAAGTCATAATGAATGTAGCAAAAACTTGTGCTCAGCATTTTAGTGGCTAACACCAGAAAGTTTTTGAAATCTTTCTGAACTGTCACGCTTCTTCTTCTGCATGACATGACTCAGTGGAACGAACCTTTATCGCACTGACTTCGCTTCTTCGCCACTGGAAGATTGCAAGAAGAAGACAACACATCTGTTGTCGAGATCTGCAGTCACTCTTTAGATCAACAAAGTTCGGAAAGCTTATCTTGTTACTCCACAGAAATTAGGCAAAATTATTAGAGGAACAAAAGTTTGCGTTAACTATATACTTAAAAGCAAAGTTTATGAAACAGAAGATATAACTTTGAGAATTGCCTGCTATTCATTCTTGAAGTAACAATTTGCAAATAATTCTGTATCAAATGTAATCTCTTGAAATAAGCCCCTTTAAGTTGAAATATATCAGATTTAGCAATTTTGTTCTGCTTTTGAAACAGATTCTGTAAATGACGATTTATGGTTTTTCCCCGTACGAAATATACGCACTTATTTTTTAAAAAAAAAGCAGCGAATTGCTGTCAGTTTTGCGTTATCAGTCGGCACGTAAATTTCGACTCCGTCAAAAATGCGTTGTGTACATACCGAAAATTTTGCTCAAGATGTGCTTTTTGTGCAAATTTAAAGTGTTATTTTTTCGAAAAGTTTTCAAATTTTTGCTTCTATTTTTATTATATATATATAGCTCTTCAAGACAGAGTGCATCCATGAACATATCGAAGAGGTATCTGGCATTCACATGTTTTTGAACATTTCGCTTTGAAAGTCTTTACACTGCAATAATGTTCATCACAAAAAAAGTTTTATTGCTTTACTTATAGGTTTATTTGGAGACAACTTGAGAGAAATGGCATGGGCAGTTGGTGAAGTATTAGACAGAATTAAAGCCGCACGCATCGCTGATCGAACTTTGGTAATACTGATGTCTGATCATGGACCACATCAGGAGCTCTGTTTGAATGGCGGCAGTACAGCTGGTCTTAAAGGTTTTCAAAGATTTTTGCTGTGGATTACGAATAAAAAAAAATAATCTGACATAATTTGCCAGGTATTTCTGTGCTAAAGTATACTATGTTGCTGAAACGGTCTTGTTTTTAGGAGGTAAGTCAAACAGTTTTGAAGGCGGCTTTCGTATTCCTTTTGTTTCCTGGATGCCTGGCACTGTTAAAGCAGGAATTACTTCACATGAAGTCGTCACTTCACTTGACTTGTTTCCTACCTTTGAATACCTTGCCTCTGGTGGAGTAAGCATATTAAATCTTCTAGTGCTTAGTTTATGAAGGATGGATTGAATCACGACTGATTATTTACAGTTGATTTGAAAACGCTTAGACACCAATTTTGTTCGTAGCTGTAAATTTTGTAGCTGTAAATTTTTTAGCAGAGCAGTTCTGAAAAGAGACGTCGAAAAATATACGATGGTGTCAACATTTGGTCTCAGCTTAAAGGCAAACTTTCAAGTCATAAGAAAAGAGAAAATGAACTCCCGTTGAGTATCAAACGGCCAATCTACTATTATTGCAACGAACATTTGATGGCGATACGTATTGGTGCATTCAAGGTGAACTTGAACTCGCTGTTGATGTAGCATACTCCAGGAGTACTTCTACGCATTTTTTGTAATTTGCGCTAAAATTAAAAAATTTCGGGAAGCTGACCTTTAACAAAAGTCTTATTGTTTTGTCATTGTTTTGTAGGTACATTTTAAAACATCTCCAATTTTCAAAAATACCTCTGCTGATATGTATTACGACACATACTGTCCAAACGGGAAACCTATTGACGACTGGTAAAAATTATTCTTGAGAAACGTTTAATCCCCTTTTTTAATTTTTTGTTTGACTCTGATATTGCTTAGGTATGTCTTACAAAGATGTCCAGAAGATAAGCTGCAAGTTCACAACCCTCCACTCATCTATAATTTGAATCGGGACCCGTATGAAGTTTATCCGATTTCACCGCTACATCCAGCAGGCAGTCTGGCTAAAACAGCAGCAGAAAAACTTCGGAAAATACACTTAGCTTCCGTAAGACCAGTCAAACAGCAGCTGGGTAAATTTCCTTGTGACTAATTGGTGGCATTGTTTAGCACTTTCTCAGGTCGCAAAAATACACGCAATTGAGTATTTTCTTGATTTGTATTCGCAGAATTATTTGAACTCTACAAAACATTATAGGTACTTATTCAACAGCAGTTCTTCCCTGTTGTGATCCTCCTGCATGTAAATGCGACAAGTTGACAGAGTACCGTAATCCGGAAAGACTTCAGAGGTACAGAACTGAGTCAGTGGACGACTTTAATGAGAGTTTTGAGGAATTGGCATTGATGAACCGTATAGCATCGGAAGTCTCAGATAAAAAAGAAGGATATGAAGGTATAATGTTAAAAACAACAGGGCGTATTAGCATATCATATACATTTATTTTGTTTTAAATTACAAATGCTTGTCAGTGGGAAAACAAACGGTTTATTTGCTGTTTTTCTTTTTGCATGTGCTTTGCTTTACATTTCAGAGCTGTGGCTTGGTGTTTGTGCTTTTTAAAACCCTAAATTTTCAGGATTTTGTGAGGAGCATGGCTCTAAATGTGTTTGGCGTATAGGGCAACAATTAAGCCTACGTTCAGCATGCGATCTTTGATTAGTGGTTTTGTTTTGTTCTATGATGTTCAAAGGATCTCAGCACTGTTATTTGCAAGCTTCTGCTCCTTCGTTATCTCTAATTTTTTTGTGTTTTGTTCTTGTTCTTCGTGAATTCAGTCAGTTGTTTCTGTATGCCGGCAAAATTTTTTTTCTCAAATGCATGTAATGCTTTTTTGTAGTTTTCAGTTGCGTTTTTTGTTTTCTCCAGTAAGGAAAAATAACTGTAGTTGAATCCAACATATGCGTTACTGTGATCAAAAACAATCGAATTTCACATTAGATTCCTTTTTTAAATGAGCTAACACTTAAATTGCACTTCAAAAATTGATAACAAAGTATAATTTACACTTCAACTCACTTTGGCTGAGGAGAGTTAGAAGCGTTTTGAAATCAGATTAAAGGTACCAGTTTTTTCAATAAAACTGCTAATTTCTGAAAATTCTTGTTTCTATTTCAAATTTTTCTGAGATGGCGTCAGCGGAGAAAAGTGGGAGAAGGAAACTTTGTTAAGTAAATTAACTAATGATTTTTATACATGGTTGAGTAATGGCGCTTGGTAGATAATATACTGGTAAGTCGATCGTTAACATGAAAAGTGTGAATTTGCTGTGTTATAGATTAGTTTGACCGCTTTTTTCTGCATATTTAATCACATTATTTATCTAAAAAGTCATTAATTCTGCACTAATTTGAAGCAAAAGCAATGATTCTGAAGGCAACTGACAACAGAAAATCGGAATAAGTTCTTGAAAAATAGAAAGTCTCTTTTACGGAGGTGTGGAGGAAGTGAGAGGGGAAGCTAGCATATGAAACGAGAGATAAGTAGAGTGCGGTGAATAACGAGGTACTGTTAAAAGAGTAGAAGATTTTGTTAGCAGAGCTACTGCATTTTGGTGATAGGTGAGAAAAGATAAAGAAAAAGTAAAAAATTTCAATGCTTTTGATAAGAAATTGATAGAAATTTTTAGCTGAAATTAATAAACGACAATATTTCTCGCAATAGACACACTTTGAAGCAACATTGGGTATCACCTCTTGTACCATCGGTATTACTATTACCATTGTCTTTCTTGACTTTGAATTGATTCAACGTAGCGAGAAAAAATGCAAATATTTTCTGTTTATTTCACTTTCTAACTGAACGCCTCTAACTTCTAAAAATTACATTTTTTTTTAACTGTATTCGTTTTCTTTTGAAGAGTGAAACAATTAAAAAAAATCACATAAATGATTTTCAGCTTAAAATGAATTTACAAAAAAAATAATTTGCAAATCAAAATTATTGTTATTATCCTTGTTACAACCATTATCACTGCTGTTATCGTCGTCACTGTCAGCACAATCGTCGCCACCACCATTACTACCTTAAATTTCACTATCACTTCTGCTATCGCTACTATTGCAATTATCACTATCACTATCACTACTATCGTTATCACTATCATCACTGGCATCAGCATTATCGCCGTTAGTACCAAAGATAAAAATATTGCCAATGGATGCATGCAGCTTTAAACTGTGATATTCAGTTGTGTTGGTGGCGAGGTTTTTTTGGCCTATAAACGTTGCCGCGTAAGCAGTAGTTGTTGTTATCCACTTTTTCAGCTTAAAAACTTAATATTCTGTTCTTATTAAGCATGTTCTGAGAAGTGTACAATGTGTTAATAATTCATAAAGCTATAAGTGATGCAATTCGTGGCAAGCCTAGATTTTAAGCTGGAAGAAAAAGGGAATAGAAAATCTCCAGCTGTGCAAAGCACCTCCATCTGAACAACTGTTTACAGTTTTCTTACTTTTTTATCGCTCCCACTTTCATATTTCAAGAGTTTCCCAGTCATAAATTTTTTGCGCTAGCCTAAGTTTTAGCATTTATACACACAGACGTCTGTCTGCAGTGAAAGGTAGATCGAATATTGTAAATAGTAACAAATCTGTCAAAAAACGTTGAAGAAGACTAATCGTTTTGAACCTTCCAACAAACAGATTAGAGAAAGAAGGTGGAGAATAATTTGTTAAAGACTTCTTTTTTTTCTGTCTTTAAACCGAATAATACTCAAGTTTTGGAGTAATATTCGTCGCTTTTTAGGTTCTTGGGGAGAGACAGTGACCTACTCTGAAGGAAGAGAAAGTAAAAAAAGAGCTTTCTTGCGAAGAAGTAAACCACCGGAATGGTTCGAACTTTTGCCATTTTTTTAAAACCCAATGATTAGTAATCTTCATTACTACATGCTTTGCTATATATCGTTTCTTCCTAAAACATGTCATGCTTCTAATACTATTACACTATCTGACTTTTTACTTGCATTATTTGAAATAATAACATGTAGAAGAACGCTTGAACATTCCATAAATTAGTCAAATCTATTAATCATTTAAAAATTGTTGAGCAAATACGGAAATGAGCAAATAAAAGTTGTACTGGACTTACATTCCTGTTAAGTCTTTAATTTCCATTCATTACTGTTGCTTGTTAAAAACAATGTAATCTATTCTTTTCCTTGTTTAGTTTTGTAACAGTATCATTGCTAATTGATGTTTTTGTTAGAAATTATTGCACTGATCATATTTAGAAGACAATAGTTGTGTTGGTCTTTGTGCGTCTCTCTGACTAGTCTTGAGGCAACAGGCATACACGATCTCATACTCACGACCGTGAATAAACGAGTATATTAATCAGCCAGTCAATCAACCAGTCAATTAGTCAAATAGATTAGGGTGTTCCTGAGCCGATATATGTCTGGTTTTATGCACATTCTGAAACTTCAAAAAGTAAAGAATGCAGGAGATATGTATGTTTTGAAAACTGTACATAAGATACAAAAAAGAAACCTTTTCGATGCTTTGGTTTTAAATGTACTGCAGCTATGCATTGTACTTTGTGAATTATGGGAAGGCAGAAGAAAAAAAAATGTGTCAGTTTTCTGCACCTAACGTGAAATAAATGTTTAGCCACTGTCATTCGAATATACCTGTGAAACCGATAAACAACATTATTCATTGTTCGTTCAGTTTGATAAGCTGAATGAATCAGTACAATATCGGCTTTTTGTCTTCTAATTACCTGTTCTGTTTCTCCCACTAC